GCGGTAATCTAATACGGTTTTAATGATAATTAAAATATGAAACGGTAATACTAACAGTCGAGAATTTTATCATGATTTATCGTCAAATCGTTACATCCCTATGTGAATACAAGGGGAGGTTTAGCTTTAGGCATTTTAATTTAAGCATGTTTAGCTTAGTTAATGGAAGGCTACCTGCTGCCATCAGAGCAAGTGTAATTACTGCATTCACGCGCTCCTCGGATGCTCTCATTTCCCGAGTTGTGCTTTTAAGTCGGAATGTGAAAACAACATGGACACTCTCGTTACTACAAAGATGTGTTGGATTTGTATTATTAGAGCTTTCCGACTTGAGTTCACGTGCATTTTCTCAGTCGGGAAATTATTTTTCACATGCGGTGCCGGTGATGATGCTTCTTACGTCCGTTTCGGAGAACCGGAGCACAAATATTTCAATCGATCGTTCAGGCATGGCACCGAAATGAGGCACCGGAATCTGCGTTCTGATTCGGTTCTAGTACATACTGGTTACATGGGTACCGGTGCCATATTGGATTTGCTCTCACCTCTCTGAGTCTGGTCTCTAGCTCCAGAACGCGGCTCTTCCTGCTCTGCTCCTGCTGGCTCATCTTCTCCAGATGTTCCTCCAGTTTGGCATTCTGAGCTTCCAGTTTTCCCGCCTGCGACTCCAGGTAAAACTTCTGCTGCCGCAGCTCCGAGATCATCTCCTCCTGAGCTTTCCTGAGAAAAACACTGAGGTCTGAATCTCTGCGCACAGACGCGATTCATTATTTCTCAGATTTTCCAGTGTCTGATGCCTTGTTTTCCAGTAAAAGGAGTTCATTAGATTTCTCCTTCAATAAACTCGTTTCAGAAGCATCCTGAGAATCACTGCTGCATCTCCTCTCCTCAAAACCGCTAAATTGTTTTTGTTTGGCTAAACTGCAATCATTCCTATTCCTCAGTCCCCTATTAAATCTAAAACACTTGATTTAGAAGTTGAACGATGCGGCAGAGATGCTCAGATTGAGCATTTATTACAAGCTAAACGCTTCCCCAGATTGTCGTTTGCAGATCTACAATAACAAGTATTTAAATATCTTCAGAAAAAAACCCTATTTATTCTAATATGACCTAAAACTACACTCTGAACTGTAATTTAGCATAACAGTCCCATTCATTTGCTCCATAGAGGAGCTAATTTTTAATGATAACTTATAAACTTTTAAAAGACAGGCCTACTATGAGCTAAGAGGTTGTTAATCGACGGTATATGCTTTTGTTGAAGCCATCCGCTTACATTATTTTCAACTTATTTTTTAAATAAATAATCAACTTATATTTCAATTCCAATTCAAATTCCACGTGAAAAAATTGCATTACCTATGATTCTGTTTGGTTTTGATTCAACTCTTCAGCTCTGCCCACTCCCATGAAGAACTACACGAAATGGTTATTATGCAATAAACTAAATGTTTCTAAATGCACAATTTTTATTTAACATTTAAAATCAGCAGTTTTATGTGCATTTAGTTTGATTATGCAATGCTTGCCATAGTCTATTTTTGTCAGATTTTGTTTGAAATCAAGTTTGTAATGCTGTGATTGGCTTGGTTCATGGATTATAACTAGGGGTTTAACGATTCGCTCGTTTTCTCGATGCATCGATTACAAACCCTGACGATGCATATGCATCAATCTTGAAACATGGATTTTTGAATCGTTGATTTTGGCCAGTAATCGATTTGAAATGCTAAGAATCGAATGAATCACAATTTATATAGCGATTCAGTGCTTTAAAATATATACACATTAAATTAGTGCGAGGTTTATCTGTCCATCGCATGCATGAAAGCTGCATTCGTCATTATAGCAAACAGACATCGAGTGCGTTTCCTTTCAGAATCGTCATTCGCCGATAGAAAGGAAAAGTTAAATACAGTCGCATTTTATTTTATGACAATAAGATAAAGAAGCTCACATCATGCAAAGGTGTAACAAAATGTTACCCCATACATTCACACTATGCTACACAATAGTTAACACGAAAAAATACTTTTAAATCCTTTTTTTTTAAATCTTGGCTTACATACCCTAGTGAAAAATAAATATACATTAAAAAAAAAATTTATTTCATGCTACGCATACTACAAAAAGTGCCTGCAATTGTACTTTTAGTACACTAAACTGGTATACTTTAAGTCTGCTAAATTGGAACAACTAATTTTGTACTTAATGCACTTTAATTGTGAGAAAGTTGTGTTAAAGTCCAGCTAAATATATACTGAAGTACATTTGATTGTGCCAAAGTTTCCACTTTTGCGAGTATACTTCAGGTACACAATCACAATATCTTGCATTTAAAGACCGATATTATTCAAAATTCATACAATCCTCATTAATAGTGACATTAAAACACATTTTAAGCTTAATATTAAGAAATGTGTGTTGTGCACAAGTAGTACTCCAAATAAAGTTTCATTATAATTTTTAAATCAGTAAGTCTCGAGCGACATGTCAGTAAATGTATTAATAGATTTGAACTATACTTAGTTTGAAATAAATGTATTTAAAATGCATTATTTTTTTACAGGGTAAATGCCATGCCATTGTGTTAAAGTCCAGCTAAATATATACTGAAGTACATTTGATTGTGCCAAAGTTTCCACTTTTGCGAGTATACTTCAGGTACACAATCACAATATCTTGCATTTAAAGACCGATATTATTCAAAATTCATACAATCCTCATTAATAGTGACATTAAAACACATTTTAAGCTTAATATTAAGAAATGTGTGTTGTGCACAAGTAGTACTCCAAATAAAGTTTCATTATAATTTTTAAATCAGCAAGTCTCGAGCGACATGTCAGTAAATGTATTAATAGATTTGAACTATACTTAGTTTGAAATAAATGTATTAAATAATAAATAAATTTCTACATGCCATATGTCATGCCATAGCATCATTAAACTAACATCTAACAATAGACACAAGTGTTTTGTTTTTTTGCCCTCACTCTCTGACTCCATAAAAGCTGCTGTGTAATTTGCCCTCTGACTAAGCATTTAAAGAATTTAGGGGAAGCATTTTAATAATTCTGTGATTGCACTTAAAGAATGCAGAATCGAATCGTTAATTAAATTGCATCGAATTTAACTGTGAATCGCCTCGAATTTGCAAAAATCGTTCTTGAATCAAATCGAAACCCTATGAAACCCTATTAAATCGATTCGCTGTTTACCCAAAGATTCACAGCCCTAATTATACCAAAAAAAATCTGAATGAGGAAAAAGCTTCCGGAACCATGTATTTAACAGTGCTACAAAACAAAGATACCAAACTGAGAAGGGCCACAGATAAAATCTGAGCAAACTAATCAAAACCTGTTGATGAACCATTAATCTGATTACTGGGGAACCTGTCGCCACTCTGACAATATCACAACAAGTTCCAAACAAATTCAATTTGTTCAAACGGCTGATTCATTCAGGAGTAAACTGACTGTTGTTATGAATCATTGATTCGTTCAAAAATTCTGATTCATTCCATATCGAAGCTTTGTTTAGAACTATTTTCGTTGGTGAAATAGAGCAAAAACAACTCGCGATATTAGAAAATCAATATTACATTGATTGCATTGCAATCGTGCTGATATTTGGGAAAAACATCACTCTTGCTCATGTGATGTTTAACTATATTATATATAATAAATGAGACAAAAACTCACACAGAGACATTTTTGCCTCCATATAGAGACTAGTCTCACACCCCTAATTCAATTCATTAACCTCCGGTTTCACAGACAAGGCTCAGACTAAAATGTCATTCTGAGCTGTTTCAACTGAAAGAAACTTGCAATGATCGATCTTAAAATATATCAGTGCATTTGTTTTGTCTCAAGATGGAAACCAGTAATGTTTTTTTTCCTAAGGCACTTTTATAAAAAATTACTTAAATGTCCTAACTGAACTATGGCTTGATCCTGGCTTAGTGAAACCAGGCCTAAATGTTGATTAAAGTCGATCAAATGAATCTCAACTCATTCATATGCTTTTCTACTACCGTATCGGCCCGAATATAAGACGACCCTGATTATAAGACGACCCCCTTTTTCCAGATGTACCTTTTGGAAAAAGGCTTTTTAAAAACCAAATCTTGTTTTTTCTCAGTAAAACACATTTTGTCTTCAATTATTTTCATATTGCATATTTTTCCTATTTTAATTTTTGTTTTGAAAGTATGGTAAAAACTGGTCAAATGTACCAACAATCACATTAGACCCTGAATATAAGACGACCGCGTTTTTTCAGATGTATTTCCAAGAAAAAAACATCGTCTTATATTCGGGTCAATACGGTAATTGCCCACCAGGCTTTTTAACTAGCTTCACCAGAGAGACTTCTCAAAAACCATTTTGCTGGTCGTGTGAATAATTCTTCAGGAAACTCGAGATGCTCTGAACTGGACCAGTTTCTGCCATCATGTTTTAGACTCTTACATGTTTTTCTGTGTGTAAATGCTGCTGTTGGCTGCCAGTTTATTGGCCTCGGAGAGTTCAGCGATCCGCTGCTCCAGACTCTTCATCTTATTGTTCATGGCTTTGACGGTCTGTAGAGAAAAACACATCAAATCTACATCAAGATCAAATTTACACATACAGTAAATGTCAGGAGAGTTTGAGAAACACATGATTTGTTGCTGCTAGTGTTGCAAATTACAAACTTGACTTTTAATAACAGGACTTCATAAGAGCCAGGAGCTGAGTTTTAATAAAAACCCAAATTAAATCAGAATAACTTTATGGATGGCAGTGATAAACTCGTCATAACACAGACTTTTTAATTTGCTAGCCTGAGGTACACCAGTGTTTACTTAAGCATGTAAATATTGGAAATGCATCATATTATTAAACAACCCTGCGGTTTCATACACTGAGCATGTGAGTCTGCGATCATGGCGGTAATCTAGTTAGCAAAAGTCTAGTTTAGCTAAAGTCTAACTGGGTAACTGGATCAAGGGCTAAAAGGCTAGAAAATGATAAGAGTGAATCTCGCAAAACTTTCTCAGGTCTAATGTCACCACAAAATCAAATAATGAAAAATTATGAATTATATTTTATCATCATAATGATAAAATCAGGTTAAACCAACTTGAATGCATTATTTATTTAATATACTTTTTAGATCTGCATGTTTAAAACATGATGTACAAATACCTAAACTGATTTTTCATATTAAGAATGAGATTTGTTTCTAGTTAGTAAAAGTCTAGTTTAGCTAAAGTCTAACTGGGTAACTGGATCAAGGGCTAAAAGGTTAGAAAATGATAAGAGTGAATCTCGCAAAACTTTCTCAGGTCTAATGTCACCACAAAATCAAATAATGAAAAATTATGAATTATATTTTATCATCATAATGATAAAATCAGGTTAAACCAACTTGAATGCATTATTTATTTAATATACTTTTTAGATCTGCATGTTTAAAACATGATGTACAAATACCTAAACTGATTTTTCATATTAAGAATGAGATTTGTTTTGTCATACTTGCTGTTGTTATTTTTTTCCTTTACTATGTGTCTTGTAATGTTTGATTGTTGTGGTGCTGTAATGTGTTAAAAGTTAATAAAAAAAATTTTTACAAAGAGATTGATCAGCATATCAAACATAACTTGAAATGAATAATAAATATTTTTCAATAAAATAAGCTTTCATAATTGGAAAAAAAGTGAGTGAGAGAGACTTGTTAAATGTCTGGAACATAATGTCATATCTAAAAATATGGTCATATAATAGCTTTATTTTCATGTTTTATGCAAACTATAATTCCTTATTTTTTCTCTTTTGCTTTCGAGGTGAAATATGATATGGACATGTTCCTGAGAGGTAACATTTTATATTCATAAAAATATAATCCCAAACAAATACCCATTTAACACCCATAAAGTTTTGGTCTTGGATTGGATTTTAGTAGCTCAGAAATTCTGCTGGATGAACTAGTCAGTGTGTCTCCAGCAAACACAACTAAACACCAAGATCCTCACACACACACTTCTGTCAGGAGTCATAGTTTAATGCGAGATGAAGATGAGACACTCACAGCTTTCTGCTCACTGATGAGTTTGCATTTCTCACGCGCCTCTTCCTCGTGCTGAGCTCGTTTCTGCTCCAGACAGTCTTTATCTGCCAGATCTGCCTTCATCTGAGCCTCCAGAACCTGCAGCATGCGCACACACATACACACACACACACAAACACACACACACGCGCACACACACACACACAGACACACACACAGACACACACACAGACACACACACAGACACACAGACAGACACACACACAGAGACGTCAGGCGTCTTACATGCATCTACAGACGATAATCATCATGTAACATATCAGCAGGTTTTCAGATATGAATATGAGGTGCTGCTGTGGAGATTTGATATTGTGTGTGATGGAAATTACATTGGTTAGTTTTTGGAAAAGTTGCTAACACAACAATCTAACTAGCAGTCCATTTACTTTTTTATTGATTAAAATAAGAAGAAATGGATTGTTTTTGAATAACTGATTTGAGCTAGTGAAAAAATATACTAATATTTAAAATACTTATATACTACAAATACTTTTACATATTTATGTATTTAATAAAAATATCCTGCAATTGCACTTTTGGTATACTAAACTGGCATATTTAAAATCTGCTAAACTGGAACAACTAATTTTGTACTTAATGTACTTTACTGTGCGGAAGTAGTGCTGGAGTCCAACTAAACATATACTGAAGTATATTTGATTCAGCTGAAATTGATATTCAGGTACACTTTAAATATCTTGCATTTAAAGATTGATCATGAGATCTGACTGAAATCTTTATTAATAGTGATAAGCAAACACATTTTAGGCATAATATTAAGAAATGTGCATTGTGCAATAAAGAAATAATCCAAATAAAGTTTTTTTTATATATAATTTTATATCAGTAAGTCCTAAATGATATGTCAATAAATATGTTTGAAGTATACTTAAATAAATGTATTTTAAATATATTATGGCATAGGTTTTTTTTTTTTAATAGGGTGGTACTGACACCTAAAGTGAAAATTAAAGGATGTTTCTGATGTCCAAACAGTTCCTGTCACGTCTCGTTCATGTGTTCAGAAAACAGAAATTTTATTGTTTGACTTGATAATGACATCAGTATTGGGACACCGATTCTTTGTTGTTAAATATTTGTCACACACATGCATCGAAAATTCTATTTTCTAGTAAAAAAGTGTGAATCATTTTGATTTTAAGACTGTTTGTTTATTTAACAGAATGTAGGTCATTAAAGAGTGTAATCATGTTTGCTGCATGAAATAGTCAATAGTTTGTTGTTACATTTACTGAGAATAATCTACTTAAATATATTAAAATAAATGTAATAGATCTCATTCACCCCAAAATGGCACAATCAATAGTCACTGACCCAAAAACTTCAAACAACAGAACAAATGTAGCGATGCATCAGTCGTTTGTCTTTCATAAACTAGTGATTTCCACACATTATTATGAGCGTCTGTGGTCTGTGTTCAACTCTACCTTGATTTTGTCCTCATAGAGTCGCTCCTTCTGGACCAGGTGGGCTTCCATCCTCTGCGCTGTAGTCTGAGTCTCCCGCAAGTTTTCCTCAAGCTCCTAAACTCACACACACACAGTCCACTGTCAGGTAACAGGTAGATTCAAACAGTTGCCAGCAGTAAAATCCCATCACCAGGTGAAACGAAGAAGTGAACTTGCTTTGAGAAGCTGAGCGCTGCTCGAAGGGACAGCATGAAGGTGTGTGTGTTCCTCACTGAGAGGTGCAGAGGTGTGTGTGTCTGTGTGTGTGTGTGTGTGTTCGTTCCTCACTGAGAGGTGCAGAGGTGTGTGTGTGTTTGTTCTGTCATATGCTAATCTGTAGGAATCTGAGAAGACAGACGCACAAGGATGACGGTGCAAAGACAGACGTGAACAGAGACCTCTGTGTCTGTGTGTGTGTGTGTGTCTGTGTGGGTTACAACTCAGCTGGTTAAGGAGGCGTGTTAGTGGTTTAATCTTTGCTAGTCTGATCCGTCTCTCTCACCAGTATCTTCTCAGCCATCTGTTGGATCTGTTGGGATTTGGTCTGGATGTCGTCCTTCAGTTTATTCTCTCGACGCTCCACCATCTCCAGACGCTTCACTTGGTTTTCCAAAGTCTTTCTGCCATCCTGAAAATAAGAGTGAAATTAAGAACATAGTGATTTAACAACTATTACAGATTCATTCTTCCTGAAGTAACCTGAAGTTCAGGAATCACACCAAACCTGTCAAGAATCTTATCAAGCTCATATTACACATCTAACTCAAAAGGAAGAAATTATATTTGTATATTTAAAAAAAAAAAGTTGACATTATTCTCATCATAATTCAGCACATTTAAAACACAAATTCTCATTACTGTAATTGAAATATCAGAGTAAAAGAAACATTTGCTGTACTAAATACACTACTGTTTAAAAGTTTGGGTTCAGTAAGATTTATGAAGAAATTATTTTATTCATCAAGGACACATTAAATTGATCAGTAAAGACATTTATAATGTTACAAAAGATTTCTATTTCAAATAAATGCTGTTCTTTTGAACTTTCTATTCATCTGTGAATCCTGAAAAATAAAATGTATCACAGTTTCCACAAAAATATTGTGCAGCACAACTGTGTTCAACATTGATAATAATCAGAAATGTTTCTTGAGCAGCAAATCAGCATATTAGAATGATTTCTGAAGATCATGTGACACTGAAGACTGGAGTAATGATGCTGAAAATACAGCTGCGCATCACAGGAATAAATTACAGTTTAACATATATTCACACAGAAAACAGTAAAAATTGTGAAATATTATTATAATTTAAAATAACTGTTTTTTGAACAAATAAATTGGTGGGCAGAAGAGACTTCTTTCAAAATCAACTTTTAAACAGTAGTATACTTATTTAAAAAAAACATACAGTGTTTTATTATATAATGAAATAAAAATATTATTACTATTTAAGTAATGAGATCTAATAAGAATCATAATTATGACAATTATTAAAAAAGAAAAACATCCAGGCATATTACAAAGCAATTAAAAATTGTCATGCAAAAAGAGTTCATATAAAAACCTTCTTGGTCCTAAACTTTTTTGATTTTCTTTATGCAACTTATTTTTTTGTCCTTTTTAATAATGGTGTGAACAATGATCCGGTGATAAACATTTCAATCGGGCCAGTTAATTATCTGATATTTGTCCATTTTGAGATACAGTATCAGCTGATAACTGTGTGTCAGTCGCTTAACAGAAGCATTAACGCTCTCTACTGTCAGTCCCACAATCCACCAGCAGTGCACATTATCTGTGTGTGTGTGTGTGTGTGTGTGAGAGTGCGTGCGTTTATCAGGCATTGCACCTCAGTCTCTCGCAGGCGTCTGCGCAGCGTGTCGCTGGGGTCAGATTTGCTGTGCAGACGCTCCAGCTCTCGCTCCAGACGCTCTTTGGCCTGACGGATGTTCTGCAGCAGCTCCGTGGCTTCTGTGCTCGCCTTCACCGCCTGCGGGGTCAAAGGTCAAACACAGGCAGAGCTCATTAGAGGGGCAGAAGAGGAACTGCATTATATGCATCATTCATGTAGCACTTAGTTTTGGGTCAAGAGGTCAGTCTGTGACCTGCCTGAAGATCTGTCTTTCCAAAGGTACACAGCAAAAGATTCAAACTCAGTGCAGATGCAATAAGATTACTGAGGTTAAGGGGTTTGTTAGTCTTTGCACCATGGGAAATCATGCTAACATACAGACTCTAGTGGCTTGTTGTTACAACATGGTGGATTAAACAATGCAATTAAACACTAAAGTCATATACTGTAATGCATTATGTCTGAAGCACGTTAACATACAGTAGAATTAAACACAGTACCTTTGAGAGTTTATCCTGCAGCTCCTGGATCTTCAGCTGCTGCTCAGCGTTCGTCTGGAACACAGAAGCTGGTAAAGTCACTCTTATTTCACACAGCAGACGAGTGTGTAATTAGTGGAAATTAAAACGTCAATGACAAGGCAATGTTTCAAAGAGACGTTTAGCACCTGGACGGCGAGGAAAGTGCAGAGATGATCACACTGTAGTTTGTCTAAAACTAGTGATGCACGATTTATCACGGACTATATCGGTATTTTGACCAACAGTTATGTTTTTATTTATGAACTGCATCAGTCAGACCAGGCTGATATGGAAAAATAAAATAAAATAACATTGAAAACAATATCAGGGCTTATGCATTCCAGTCAGTATCATTGAAATACTATTATAGTTTTTATTCATATTTTGAATCAGTTTTTATGTTTATATTTTCCATTTTTATTTTTATTTTAGCAAATAATTTTGTAATTTTGTTGTGTGTGTGTTTTTAATATAGATATGTCTATATATTTTATATCAATTTCAATTTTAGTTTTTGTTACTTCAAGATAATCAAGATAAACTAAAATAAAATAAGAAATGTTGCCTTAGCTAAAATAAAGTAATAATATGTATGGTTTTACCTTACTTAGCTACATTTTTTTAAACAACAACAACTCTGGTTCCACTGCAAACAGGACTCCTAAAAAAGGTTGCCTAAAAAACAATGGTCCATCTTAATGATTAAAATAAAAGTCTGTTTCATCAGCGCATCACATCTGAGATGTTTTACACTGAATGGGAGTAGAATATCGAATTAAAAAAGTTATTTGGTCAACCATCCTGTTATTTGTGATCTACCCTGTATGTACAGCACTCATAATAACATCAAGTACATTTTTAAAAGGGGTTTTCTACAAATATGTGGAAACTTTGAATAGCAAATGCAAATTTTCAGTAAAACATGGTGCTTGAGTGTGTCGTTTTAATAGATGAGCTCATCATCATATTTTATAAAAACATTTATTCATGAAGAAGTGTCCTCTCAAAATGAAACTACTTGACCGGAGAGAGATTTCACAGCATGAAGAGCGCAGTGAGCATCATTGAGGATGATTGACACACACACACACACTCACATCAACACACACTCATACAGACACACACACACACACACACTCACATCAACACACACTCATACACAGACACACACACACTCACATCAACACACACTCATACACAGACACACACACACACACACACACACACACACACACACACATCCACACACAGACACACACGGGGAATGAGCAAATCAAAAAAGGATTTAAACTCACTACATGACTTCTTTAGATTACATTCAGTGTTTTTGCAGGCCTAGAAATCTCAGACGTCCCTGATATTTCCCAGCTTTGCATGACTCTGGAAGCTGTGCTGGTTAAATTATTAACAAAAATAATTGAGCACCTGTATGATCTGACTGTGACGGCTCTCATGGGATCTATTTGAGCTCTCAGTCAGAGATAAAGGGACGTCCCGTTCATCCCAGAGAAGAGGACATTTAGTGAGGTTTGTGTCTAGCATATGATCTGATGACGGATGAATTATTGAGTCAATTATTCATTTGGAGGGACACAAACAGATGAATTTCAATCATTGTGTGTTTCACTGATTTGTACCTTCTCGAGTTTAGAGAGCAGCTCCTCCACCTCCGCTTTCCCCTGCTCCTTCGCCTGAACACAATACACAAACACAATCCAAATATCAAAATCACACGACAGGATCATAAAGAATAATCCCTCACACACAAACAACATGTACTGTATATATCGGCCAGGGTGATCTATCAGATTTAGATAATGGCAACTTCTGGGAATCTTAAGTTAAGACCTAAAATGTGACCACAAAACTAGTCTTAAGTCGCTGGGGTATATTTGTAGCAAAGGCCAACAATACATTGTATGGGTCAAAATTATACATTTTTCTTTTACACCAAAAATCATTATGATATTAAGTAAAGATCATGTTCCATGAAGATATTTTGTAAATTTCCTACCGTAAATATATAAAAAATGTATTATCATTAGTAATATGCATTGCTAAGAACTTCATTTGGACAACTTTAAAGATGATTTTCTCAATATTTAGATTTTTTTGCACCCTCAGATTCCAGATTTTCAAATAGTTGTATCTCGGCCAAATATTGTCCTATCCTAACAAACCATACATCAATGGAAAGCTTATTTATTCAAATCTCCATGACCCTTATGACTGGTTTTGTGGTCCAGGGTCACAAATAAGAACAATTCTGTAATACGGCCCCTGGGCTGGAAACAAGACAAAAAAATCTAGGTAAGAAAAGCACTTACTGGTCACTGACTGAACACACACACACACACACCTTCTGGATCCTCTGCTGGTATTCGGCTGCTTTCCTCTTGAGCTCTTCGCTGGTCAGCCGTGACTCTCGCAGCTCGGTCTCGTACAGGTCGCTGCGGCGGCGAGCGGCAGACAGGTCCTCCTCCAGCTGTCTGATGGTCACCTGCATCTCCTCCAGCTGAGCGTGATACTCCTGAACACATCATCAGAGAACTCACACAACATGCTCTTCTGGGGAAACTTCAGCGCAATTACACAACATTACTATAATTAGAACCATAGCACTGTCCAAGAAACATATAAACATCACAGCACACGAATATGATAATCAGCCAGTACAGTGCCTGATACAGTGTAATATTTTACATGGTTATGAGCGGTGCTATTTTAATATTATCCATATACTATTAAAGTTTTTATTAGCTTATATTTCTTTTTCAGCACATTTAAATTTGTTTAATTTTTATTTTTTTATTTAATTGATTTCTATTACAATTTATTATTTTGTATATATTTATTATGAAATATTTTTCTTAAATATATTTATTATTTAATTTTATTGTTTTAAACTTTTCTCAGTTACTTAACAACATTTCTATTTTTTCTTATTTCTTATTATTATTATTATTATCATCCTTATTATTATTTTATTTTTTTTACATTTTCTAAGTTTTTCATCTAACATTTATATTTACTTGAATTTAATTTCAACTTTATTTCATTTCAATAAAACATTTTTTTTATTTTTTTTAGTTAACAATAATAACCCTGGTTATTTTCTAATTATTTATATATTATTTTTATTAAAATCATTGATTAGCCTTTTAAAAATATTTTCAGTTCATTTTAGTTTAATTTTTAGTACTTTTATTATTTTAAACTTGTTTCAGTTACTTGCCAACCTTTCTAATTTTTGTCATCTAATATTTATATTTTATTTCAGCTTTATTTCAATTAACAAAATGTTTTTAAGGTAATGTTTTAGGTATCAATAATAACCCTGGTCATGAGCAGGGTTACTTTAGTATTATTTACATAATAACATAGTTTTCAACTATTAATTGGCTTTTAGTTTTATATTCTTAGTCCATTTTAAGTTTAGCTAATTTTTTTGTAATTTTATTATTATAATTTATTATAATTTATTATTTTATTTTATTTCAGCTACTCGCCAACATTTCTATTATTTTTTAATTTTTAAAAAAATATTTCTTTGCATTTTATTTTTTATTTTAATATCTGCTTTATTTCAGTTAACACAATGTTTAATGTTCTTAATATGTAAAAAAATATTTTTGATTAGTTAGTGAGGGTTTGAGCGAGTAAGACGCATTAAGGAATTAAACGAGCGGCTTCAGAGTGACTGAAATATAATGTGAATGATTACAGGCTGAGATTCTCGCGAGGTTAATTGTGCTGAGTTTAGAGGTCTGAGAGAAACACACTTTCTCAAGCTCTTCACCTCATCTCAGTTCAACCAAAGACAACATCTTAGTTTGGATCCAACGAGGAAACATTTAAGAGACAAATGAGGTTTTAGTTGCCAAATTACAGGATTGCTCGATATAGATGTTTGTTCAGAGGGACTGCGATTCACAATCTCTGACTCTCTGAAGGTCCATCATCAAGTCATTTAAAGCTGCTCTAAGTGAACTCTAATGGAAAATATCACTATTAAATGACAGACTTCAATGAATGATTATGTGTTCATAAAATATCACACAGAGCCTGGATAATGCATTAAACAACGAAACTGCAGGCCAATATTTAAGCCTAAATTCTAAATGTATCTGAATTGCATTTGGATTACATAGTTTTATCATAAACAATTTTTCTGAATTTTCATAAACAAATTTTTCGGTCTTACATAAATGAAACAGTTAAGAAACAGGTCAGATTTCTGCACTCAAAAAGTCACAGCATAGTTTATTATTAACTATTTGTGATCAAATTAACAACTATTTATTATTAGCTATTAATCTATTTGGTTTTGTTTAAATAATAATATTTCAAAATGCATTTATTAAAATTTCTTATAATCAGCTATTATTCATACTTTTATGATTATTATATATTATATAAACATGGCTAAAATATGACTAGCTGTGGAACAAGTAATATTCAATCAGTCAAAATGTATTTTTGCATTTCTGTCATTTTTATCACATTTATGATCAGTTTAGTCACTTCTTTCAGAGATGCATCTATCAAAACGAGACATCTCAGTAAAATAACTTGTGCTTTTTAAAGATGCAGCCATTATTTTGTGTGTGTGTGTGTGTGTGTGTGCGCGCATGTGTCAGTGTGTGTCTGTCTGTGTGCGTGTGTGTGAGTGTGTGTGTCTGTCTGTGTGCGTGCGTGTGTGTGTGTGTGTGTGAGTGTGTGAGTGTCAGTGTGTGTGTGTGTGCGTGCGTGTGCGTTGATGTGTGCTGATGTGTATGTGTGTTGATGTGTGTGCGTGTGTTGATGTGTGTGTGTGAGTGTCAGTGTGTGTGTGTGTGCGTGCGTGTGCGTTGATGTGTGCTGATGTGTATGTGTGTTGATGTGTGTGCGTGTGTTGATGTGTGTGTGTGAGTGTCAGTGTGTGTGTGTGTGCGTGCGTGTGCGTTGATGTGTGCTGATGTGTATGTGTGTTGATGTGTGTGCGTGTGTTGATGTGTGTGTGTGAGTGTCAGTGTGTGTGTGTGTGTGCGCATGTGTCTGTTTGTGTGTGTGTGTGTGTATAGAGACTGATTGTTAGAGGAAGATGTGGAGATTGAATCGGGCTGATATTGATCGGAGGAGACTGACAGTGAAGGCTGTGTTGTGGATCAGATCTGCCGAGACGTCAACCAGTAAGACACTTAATTACTGCAACATAACGAGAACAAAACATCCAGCATGCTAATAAACACTCACATACAATGGAGGCCTTTTAGTAATCTGCAGTTATCATCAAGCAAACACCAATGATCTTCAGATGTGCAAGAAATCTAGTTCTCTACAGGTATCTTCAAAAACATCATGTCTACATTATAGCAGCAAACAAAACATGTTAAATGTTACATAAATGTTGGTAGCTACAGCATACACTACTGTTCAAAAGTTTGTGGTCAGTAAGTTTTTTTTAAAGAAATTAATACTTTTATTCATTAAGGATGAATTAAATTGATCAAAAGTGACAGTAAAGACATTTATAATGTTACAAAAGATTTCTATTTCAAATAAATGCTGTTGTTTTGAACTTTCTATCAATCTGAAAAATAAAATGTATCACAGTTTCCACAAAAATGTTAATCAGCACGACTGTTTTCAGCATTGATAATAATCAGAAGTGTTTCTTGAGCAGCAAATCAGCATATTAGAATGATTTCTGAAGATCATGTGACACTGAAGACTGGAGCAATGATGCTGAAAATACAGCTGCGCATCACAGAAATAAATTACAGTTTAACAGATATTCACATAGAAAACAGCTGTTTTACATTCTAATAATATTTCACAGTTTTACTGTTTTTTGATCAAATAAATGCAGCCTTGGTAAGCTTCTTTCATAAAATCTTTGACCAGATGTATAGATAGCAATGGAAAACAGGAAACAGTCGGGCTAAAAACTGCACACAAAACAAAGATCTCTCTTCATCTGAAGGTTCAGTTTACAGCTGTTCTTCTCTGTAAATCCTGCTGGTTTGTGACAAAGCCGTTCTCAGATCCCAACAGTACGTTGGGATCTGAGAACGGCTTTGTCACAAACCAGCATTTTAAACAGCATTTGGGTTTAAAAACGAGCTCGACACAGGTTTGCCAGCACAAGATTATCCACCAATAGCTTGGTGAGTGAAATATTATCCCCCATAATGCCTTGAGCTCATGTTCATGCACACATACACAGAACCAGTAGTTAGTGGACTATGGGTTAGGACTATGTTTGATTGGCAGAAATCTTTTTCCAAGACCAACAAACCATGTTGATCACATCCTACGGGGCAAAATCACAGTGATCGCAATGGTTTGTATGTAACCAGAGACTACAGGAAATCAAACCAGTGCAGTAGTCAGGAAGAACACTGTAACGTGTGTTTGTCACAATCACTGACAGCACATTATACTGAACAAACGACTACATGCGGAAAGGAAAAACACCAATAAACCGAGGAAAAAGCAACATGATTTGCTTGCGGAGGATCTTAATGATGCGTGATGATTAGCGATTAGCCGGTGTTTAGACGAGTCTCCTCAGACTGGCCTCAATTACGGGATTCAGTTCTGCAAATGAATGGCTAATAAAGTCGAGCCAATGGAGGTGCTGCAGGACCGGACGCCATCGGATGGACCACCGATACGAGTTCATATGAATATTATTTACTTAATGAATAACAAAAATTACTATAGTAAGTATAGATTTCACCCAAAAACTTGGTTTTTATTTTCCCTATTTGCTTCATATTTTTGATACACCGCTATTCAATAGTTCGGGGTAAGATTAAAAAAATTATAATGAAATGTTTTTATCATGCAAGAATGCATTAAATTCAAAAGTGACAGTAAAAACATTTATAATGTTACAAAAGTTTTCTATTTCAAATACAGTATATGCTAGGGTTGGGCGATGTAAAAAAAATAAATAAATGGCATCGGACGATGTCTACAGTGAAACATCGCGATGGACGATGACATCGGCGGCGGCCGGGGGGTGTGTGCCCGAAGCGTGAATCCTTATAAGTCACGGCAAACAAATAACTACCGTATTGGCCCGAATATAAGACGACCCTGATTATAAGACGACTGTCAACAACTGTCACGTCCGGTGTAGACACGGTGTCACGGTTGCCTGTTACATTACAGTACATACAATTTCACTTACCACATAAACAGAGTTAGGGGAGATGACTGAGGACGATGGCGAATGATTTGCAGATCCTCAGCACCACTGACAAACATCTAATCTTGTAAAATGTGTGGTAAGTACTGCCGCTCCATAGTAAAAACAGAGTACGTGTGATCACAAATCTCGAAAGTGAAAGTTAAACTAAAAAGCGATCGTGCATTAAAAAGCGCAGTTTCAATGCCAGGTATAATAGCGGCTCCCTAAAGCCCGAAATATATATGTGTAGTATAATTACCCAATGATATAACTGTGAGGGAAAATATTGAAATATATATTTTCCTCCGATCTCTATTTATTCCCTTTAGGGGTTCCGTATACACGTCATTTATCAATTAATAGTAAAATAGCTGTTAAAATCGAAAGCGAGGATCTCACAGTAATGGTGTGGTGAAGTGTGGTTGTTCACCTGCTCCTTGATCTCCTGGAGTTTGTTGCTCTGTTCTCGGATGTCATGGAGGAGCTGGAGAGCTTTATCATCTTCCTGTGACACTTCAACACGAGCCTGCTCCAGACTGTGCTTCAGACTCTAAACACACACACACGTCTGTTATGTTGAGATGCAGCGGTGGTTGGAACGCAAAGTCAGAACAAAAAATGAACAGCGTGCCAAGAGTGCTTTTATCAGCGAGTGTATTTGCATTAAAGACAGAACATCAAGAGTGCAGATATGAAATCGAGTCAGTTTTGCTGTTCTAGATATAAAACAATAGATACGTCCATCAGAGAGCGTACTGATAAAGTCCTGCTGTCAGAGGGAAAGCACACACTCCTGGGGCCGAGAACTAAACAACTAGCAGTTAGCCAAGGGGTAATCAGCCTTACTTCTTCATCTCAAATTAGACCAATCTAGGTTTATATTTTTCATTTTTTACTGACATAAAAATTTTGACCAGGTTTGAAGAAAAAGAACAGATGTTCAATGTGACCTTGTGATTTTAGCATATTAGTAATGTAATGTATTAGTAATGTTAATGCAACAATAGTGATGTATTGCTATACATCTATTATGGATAAGGATGCACACTATATCTGTGACCATGTTAATAAGAGGTGGGAATCACAAGGAATTTCTTTCTGATTATTTTAGTACGTTGAGGAAGCGCCCAATAATTTTGGATACTCTGTAACTTCTCATTGTCAGTTAGTAGTAATGGCTCGGTTTATTTTTAGATGCATATGATCAAAAGTAATGCTCTGGGGTTCAGTGTGAGTTCATCTACAGTGAGATGAAAGTCGTTTAGCTTCAGCACTTTTAAAAGAGTAGATCTTGATCCCCAAACACAATATTAGTTGTGAATAAAACTTATATATTATTGCATAAAATATTTGCAAATAAACACAATTTCCTTCCCGTGTGCTTAAGAGAACAAAATCTTCACTTCCTGGGAAACTGGTTTAAAGTATCAGTAATAAAATTGTAAAAATATTTTTTCCCCCACATAATAATGATTTGTGCCTCAGAGCGTGTAGGTGAAATGCAATAACAAATGCTATTCTGTAAGTGTTTCCGTTGTAGTTTGTGTACATGTTTTCTTACCAAATAAAACAAAACATTATCTGTGCCAAATAAGCACATTTTTAGATTTTAAGCACATCTTGGTGTTTCCATGATTTAGGTTTTTTATGCGCTATTCCAAAATTTGCATAAAAATATGTGGATGGAAACAACAAAACAGCAACTGCCTTTCATTTACATACACGAGTCAGTTTGTGTACATTCTGAAATCAAATTACTGCATTTTTTCCCAAACTTTAACACAGCTGAACCAATGCTTATATTCTGGTTTAATTTGTAACTTTGGATGGAAACATAGCTTGTGTTGAGGATCAAGATACATGGAAATATAGCAATTGACGTTTTAGACATTGGATGACTAAAGCACTAAACAACAGTTAATCATCTTTTTTATGGAGGACCAAACCTGCAAAATTTCAAAATTAATGTAATAGAAAAATAAGGAAATAAATGACTTGATAAAACAAACACAATTAATTTTTTATTATATTTAGTCTTAATTTTTACTACTTTTTCCTTTTTTAAATATTTTCTGTATTTATTTTCTAACTTTATTTTTATTCTTTATTTATTCTTTTATTTTTTGTTTATTTGCATATTTATTTTTATGAATTATGCACATAAATAAATTGCATTATTTAAATTTGGAAATAAATGACTGTGGGAATAAATACATAAACACTTAAATAAATAAAATTAATTAATTAATTAATTAAAAATTAATAAAAAGAATAAAAAATACAGTTAAAATTACGAAAATAATCAGAAATAAAATCAGAACTAAACTGAATTAAAAATCAATTGTTTTTGTTTTCATTTATTTATTTTCCTTTTTTTTTTTTTTTTATAATTTTTGATTTCTGCAGGTTTGGTCCTCCATACTTTTTACAGAATGTTTTTTTTTTCCTGATATTTTGCCAATTTCTTGGCCTTTGTGCCAAATCATTCTACTCATTTAAAGCACAGACTGCTCATTTCTATAAATAAAGTGTATTATGATTAATGAATGACTATTATTATACTAGAATGAGAGTCTGAGCGTCACTCACGCTGCATTCGGTGATGTAGGTGGCGAGGTCCTGCTCCAGGATGCTCCTCTGGGTCTCGGAGGCTTTGAGCTCCACATCTTTCTGCTGGAGGACTGACTCCAGGTCAGTCATCTTACGCTGAAACCGTGAGATCTCTTGCTCCATCTGAGAAGCCACAAACACAAGCACCAGGTCTAAATGCCATTATCAATCTTTTAGCTATTCATAAACACAATAACCTTTGTCCTTCGTTACTTTTGATATGAAAAAGCATGAGCTTTAAAATTCTGTAAATTTCATCACAAAATGCAAACAATAAATGTGGTTGTTACGCTCTTTAATGTGGCCTGACAGATGGATGTAGTCGCACATGAACCAATCATCTCTTCTGCTTTACTTCTAGTTACAGCACCAAATAAACATGACTGAACATCAGAAGTTGTTGAAAGAAGCAGAACAACCTACTGAAATAAACCACTTCTCATTTAATCGATCAATCAGACAGCGTTTCAACCGCAGAAAAATGTCAATAAAACAGTTTGTAAACAATGTCACGTATAACGTCACATTTACCTCAGGAAAGCCATTCAATGTCCATAAACTCATTAGTTGGCTAGAAAAATAACTCTAGAGAGGAGCATTTTGATTAATATGTCCACTATATTACATATTCATTATATTTTTACTTAACCTGTTCTTCAACATTTAATGTAGGTTTGAAAAAAATCGAACATTTTATAACAGCCACCGTTTAAATATTTATATTTCAACAACAAATTGGAGTAGAAACAGAATGATATCCTTTAAAAAAACTGCTTTATGTGCAATTTAAATGTTTGACACAAACAAGTTGTTCATTTTAACTTTATTATATTACAGTAAAATACCAAATGACAGGGTTCTTTGGAAGCTTGTTTCCATCACAGGATAAAAAAATAAAAAAAAGTTAATTCCAACTTTTTAATCTCAAAATTCAGACTTTTTTCTCGAAATTCTGAGGTTATACCTCATAATTCAGATTTTATTCCTAGCGATTTTTTGCAACTCACAATTCTGAATCTTCTTCACAGAATTGCTAATATGAATGCAAAACTGCAATATATTGCAAGATATAAACTCACAATTCTAAAAAGAAAAGTCTGAATTGTGAGATGCAAACACAGTTCTAAGTTTTGGGAGAAATTGCAAGGAAATGTACAAGTTGGTGTATTAATGCAGTTTAACTTATCCCAGTTTATTATCTGTATTCATTCAGACTCTACCCAGAAATATCTGTGCTCTTACCTTGTGACATTTGTCTTGAGTGTCTTGCAGTTCTTTGCTTTTGAGGTGCAGTTTTTTTTCCATGGAGTTGGTCTTGGCAGGAGAGTTGAGCCCTGTGCCAACCGATCTGATTACACAAGGAAAAACACGCCTAATCAGAATCATAATACACATGCATGTACATTAACACTCATCTAGTTATAAATCTCCAAGATAAAGCCAGAAGGAGTGTGTGAGAGGTTTAGTTTTTCCTGGGAATGTAGGGAATATCACACTCATGCATGTCTGCTCAGCCTTTCACATTCATTACACACTCCATTAGTTTCATGTGAATGTGAATTCATTCAAAACCAAAGAGCATCATCTTTATGTGCCGTCTATTAATTAACATGACATGAAGTAGACATTAGGGAACATTCTCATCAGGAACACTAACCGCAAGTGTCACCAAACCACAAGCAAATGAACTGATACCTAGTTTCATGAGTAAACACATTGTGCTGCATCAGATCAACCACAATTCAGTGCACAAATGACATACAGTTGTGCACGATTCAGATTTTAATTAGAATTGAGGTTTCAAAAAGGATGCAGAACTGTAGTTTAAATTTCAATTCATTGTAAATCTACTTCACAATCTAATTCAAAGAAATTGGTAACTTTACAATAAGGTTACATTAGTTAACATTAACTGACAATGAACAATATTTCTGCAGCATTTATTAGACTTAATGGTAATTTCAAAATTTACTAATACATTTTTAAAATCAAAAGCTGTATCTGTTAACATTAATGCACTGTGCTCTTACGTGAACAATGAACAATCATATTTATTTTTATTAACCAACCCTGACAAAGTCTAATAAATACTGTACAAACATATAGTTCATAGTTAGTTCACGTTAACCAATGCATTAACTGATGTTAACAAATGAGACCTTACTCAAAAGTGTTACAAAGAAATTAATATAACTATTTTTTTACCTTTGTCAAGATAAACTTTACAAAATATGTTTGAAATGCCACCTTTAGATATTTGTATTTAGTTTATACATTTCATCATATTTATTAAATGTACTTTTGTGGATTAGGGCGGAAGAACACATTTCCCAGAATGCATTTTGCATATGCAAACCTGAGACTGAAATTCAGAAAACCGTGAAGAAAAAATGAATGTAAAACTATGACTGCTTCCACACAGGTTTCCCAAACACTCCTCCCACCCCTTTGACTCCGCCCTATGTCTGCCATTGGTCAGTCAAATTGATAGACTCCTCCCACACTCACTGAATCAGAAACTGATAAGCAATATTTGGAAAGCAGCACAAATGCTCTTCAGGAAGCCAAAGTACCAATGGATTTCAGTTGAAAAGTTCTCACAGAGGAAACCAAGACACAAAGAAACGGCTAAATATAGAGAAGCGACCGCCTACGACACGTGAACCTCAGAACAAACTAACAAAGACAGAAAACAACTTGAGCTCCCACATGCATCATATGCCAGTGATTCAGAACTGATGAAATGTTGTCTGACGGAAAAACATGTTCCAGAAATAAAGAATGAAATCCCAGCCGCTGCACAATCACAACAGACATTACTAACAGACGGAGAGAGAATAAAACCGACAAAAATACTGCAGCGGAGGAAGCAGCTCGTGAATATTTGCTCTGACCGTCGTCAGTCCTGAAGACCTTTAGCTTGAGCTTAAATCCCATTAGAAACACAGTCAACAGTATTCATGTGCACAAAGTGTTTAGTCTGCTCAGTGTTTCCTGCTAAAGGAGACGTCTGAAATAGAGAGAAGAGCATTTTGGCCACGCTTTTCTAATATGGTGTGTCCCTCGCAATGTTTCAAAGTCCATTCCTCGAGCTTCCTCTGGATAAATTCCCATCGAAGAACTTCAGCTGTTCTTGCATCCCAGAAAATAAAGAAAGGCATTTACAGATGCTATCGGCTTCAACTACCTCTGATGAACAAATAAACTACAGAAGAGCACTGAAGAGTACAGAATAGCACATCGTAGTATAGTACAGTACAGTATAGTGTAATAATTTTGGACAATATTGTCACAAACATACCGTCACAATTATTTGTTATTATTATTTTTGGAAACATCACACATTTATTACTTTAAAAATGTTCTTAAATCAGCAACTTTACAGCAGTAAACATAAAAACAATCAATCAGAATTCAATAATTCTCTTAGATTTTTAGACGGAGGCAATTACCAAATCCACGTGTTTATCACACCAGTGTACATATTTTGCGACAGCAAATCAAAGCTATTAATTATGAAGGCTATAATTCAAAATAAACGGATAATATTATCTTTCTTCAAAACTATCTAAAGAATTTTAATGTGTGTGAGAATAACATTTAATGCTATTTCAGGCCTTAATTTTCACATTTCATGACTTTTAATGTTTTTCAATGCTCTGCTGAAACCCTGTATTAGCAATATTAAAGTCAGTGGAGTTCAGTTATTTAGTGTCCTCGTGCGACAGTTTCAAACTGAGAAATACAGGCAGAATTTATCAAAAAAACACATGTAAATGTATAGCAATGTAAATGCACTCCAGTCTAGTTTCACTAATCTTGGTACCAACTACTGACATTTTAGACATTATTCTTTGCCTCACGTCTGTACAGAACACAAAACCAGGGCTCCAGAAGAAAAAAATAAATAAATAGAAATCACATTCATTTCCTCCACAGAGCACTATAATGTATAAACCTTTAAAGACTCCAGATTCATCACGCGCTCGGAGGATGCTCAGCTTCTGTAGAGGCACACGTCAGCTTCATTTTATGACCATCAATCATGTTTGAAAGCCAAATTGCTGGTGAATACACAAAACAATAATCGGAGAAGTCGCTGTTACCATGGAAACAGAAAGAAGGCTCAGTGGTGACCGCCCACTCCCATGAAGCATTGCGGCTGATGTAATCCAATCAGTCTGCCTACACTCACAAACTACTTGTTTACTATAGCTACATTTATTTCTAATGAAAGTTCAACTTTATACTTTTCAAAATTGCACAGTTGTTTCTGGTTTGATTCCATTGACCTTGATGCACTAAAATAAATAACTACAACTAAAATAAAAAATTATAAAAATTTTATACAAAATTACTAAAACTTTAAATGAAAATGAAAAATAAAAATACTTAAGTGAAAGTGAAGTGAAAGTCACTTTATAATATACAGTCACTTCAAAATATATTCAAAATATTAATAAAAGCTATAATAAATAGCTTCTATATAGTAGTTATAGTACAGTATAATAGTAATCTCAATGACAGCAAATTAACACTGGTTAGCAAAACTGCTCACACATTACGATTTGGATGCTGTGAAATCAGTTTCATTTTTGCATAAGTCTGTTTTATTTTTCCCAGAATTCTGTGTTTTCCATTTTAATTTTTCTGGATTCCATTTTAATGGTATAATGAAATTGTAATAAATCCAAAAGAATGCCTAATCAATTGAATAAAACATGAAACTTTAATAAATTTAATAACTTATTAACATTTCAACAATAATACTTCACTATGATTTTTTTTTTTTTTTTTTTTTTTAAAATTTT